TGTGAAAGCAGATCTTGGGGGTGGCGTATGTGCACATGAGTGCTTGTGTGTGTGCAAGTCTAAGAACAACTTCATTTGTCCTTCCATTCATCTTGTCTTTTGAAGACAGGATCTCTCCCCAGCTTGGAGCTTGACGCAGCCTAGACCAGCAGGCCAGCCAGTCCCAAGGTCCACCTGTCTCCACCTCCCCAGTGCTAGGATGACAAGCAAGTACCACCACACCCAGCTTTATTTTTAATGCGGGTTCTGAAAACCGAACTCAGGCCCTCATACTTGGGAGGCAACCCTTTTCTCTTTCTCTTAGATGCAGAATCTGTGCCATCTCATGTCTGCCATAGATCTGAAGGTCTGGATCATTCCCGAACATAGGCAGTCAGTTTCATTCATTGAGAGTTTCCCCACCAGGGCCTGCAGAGGAGCAATCTCCCACACATGTGAAACACAACCCTGGGCGAATGTGATCTGAATCAGCATGGCAAAGCTCCCCAGACGTGGCGCATGGGAACTGCCGTATCCCATGAGTAAGGGGCCAGCCAGTTGGGATGGAAAGATGGGCCCTTGGGACTGACTCCAGCTGAGCAGAGGGCCTGCTTTGCCCTCAGGAGTACCCCAGGGTTGGATAGAGCATGGAGGAGGCAAGGGCAGGGATTACATTGATCCTACCTCCCTCTCTGCAAGTCCTCAAGGAGAAGCTACCAGGCAAAGCCTGGACTCTGCCACAGAGGCCTTGCTCTGTAGTCACAGCACACTGGTACCACAGAGGGGACCCTGGCAGCCCTGCCAAGGAGGCACGAAAATTGTTCATTTTTTTTTTCATAGTTTCAGCAATTTTAGGTGACACTTGCCTGGAGCTAGAGGGTGTTCATTGTACATTCTTCCTCTTTTGTTGCTGTCTGAATCTGATTTCTGGGGTGGATGTGAATTCTGGACACCCAGCAGCAGGAAACCTCAGACAGTCTCCGAATTCTTTGGAAGGATTTCTCCACAAAGATTAGGAAGCCTGGCTGGAGGGATGGCAGTGACGTCTTACACGGAGCAGGAGTGTGTTTCATCGAGGAATACCGGCATTAGAGACGGAACAAAAGGACGAAATCGGCGAACAGATGGGTGGGTGTTCAGCAAAGGCTCATGATCTATGTGAGCAGTGTGGGCTATGCCCTCCCCTTTTTCCTGTTTCTGATGCATCGGGGTATGATGTGATATGATATGACAGAACACGTCAAAAATTTAGGGGAAAATAAAACCCTGTTTTTTGTCTGCTTTTTTTTTTTTTTTAAACATCAAACTATTGCTATCAATAGGAACAGCAACTGTTCAAAAATTTGTTTCAGAACTGCCAAGAAGTGAACGCTGGTAGAAAAAAAAAGTCTTTTTCCCTGCTGTTTGCAAGGTGGACACAAATGCAAACGGTAGGAGGTTGACAACTTGACACATGTCTAATAAATCTAAAGCATAAAAAGTCAACAATTCCCCGCGCAAGGAAGCATCGCTGGAATAAAAAGTGCTACGCAAAGAAAGAATAACCATTAAAAAATAGATTTTCTGAATTCAGTGAGTAATTTAGCCCTTGGAGTGCCAGCCTTCATAACAGGGAAGCTTTTTCTTCTCCCTTCTTCAACAAGACAGACAGGAGGCGAGGTTTAGGGAGGGGGCTGCAGCATTCAGAACAACCAGGTGAGAAGCAGCCAGCAGATGTGTGTCTGTAAGGCCGGGGACCAGGTCGGGGTGCAGAACCTCCCAGATCCCGGCTGCTCTGCAGCTTGGAGCAGGAGTGGGTTTAATTTGACAAGTTGGTCCGTGTACAGGGAATTCACAAATCATAGACAATGCCAAGCAGATTTGGCCACCGACAGCACTATCTGGTGCTGGCCAAGAGGATGGCAGTTGGGAAGCCGGGTCTGTTATCCAGGCACTTGAATGCAGACAGAGAAAGAGACAGAGACTCAGCGAGGGCTGGAGGTGCCTGGCTCAGTTGTTCGAGAAGCGAAGAGAAGACTGAGTCATGTCCTTAATATCAAAATAATTAAGGATTTTGTTTTAACCACTTTTTCTCCAAGCTCGGAGTGCTTTCTCCTCTCACCATGAATCCAGGGCTGAAGAAGATTGTAACTGAATCTGAAAACAAATGGTAATTTGCATGCCAGTCTCATGTAAACAAAAATATCAGCATTAATGTTATGAATCCTAATTTGTGCCACAGAGCTGAAAATCTGCATCTTTCTGAATTATAGGGATATAGACACAGAGCAGTGGGTAACATCTCTGCAGTTCAGAAAACTGACAAAGTCTCTCCAATTTATAGGGAAATTGACATAATTTTGCAAAAATACAAACGCATTTGTGGACTGGGTTTTGCATAATGGGATTAATTTGGTTGACTGTCATATCCACTATAGTGCGGAAGGGAAGTTAATCACAACATCATCCCGAGTTTTTTTAAGGGAAGAAAGAAAAGGAAGGTCCCCACCCCCCACCCCGACACATCCCTGACTATCTTTTCATTAAGAGAAAACACCCAGCCCTCCAGACGGCACCTCGGGTGGCTTTAGGAAGCAATGCTAGACAAATTCCAAAGAGATGCCTTCTCGGATGGAGCCGAGTTGGCCCAGCTCCAGTGAGAAAAATTAGCAGCTTTCATAGTGGCAAGAACAATTGCTTCCAAGGAAATGCGGTATTTGATGCCTGCGAGTGTGGATGTGTTTGCTTAGAACTGGACTGTACCCCAGAGCTGAGGGTAGGTAGCGCCCACAGTTTACCACGGCACTCAGCTGTCAGGCTTCATAGCGTCCAGCTTCTTTCAATGAACAAGGTGTGTTTCGTGCCTCTGCTGGTCGGAATGGCTCCATTAGCCCACAGTAGCCAACAGCGTAAACAGTTCAGGAGCTCAGCGAACGTGGCAGTGGTCCCCTCTTTCTTGCTAACTGTCCATGCACAAGTAGCAGGGCAAATTTGCTGACTGATGTCCCCCCAAAGTCCCTGGTCATCTGGCAACCATCCGTGCTGACCCAGGTTTCCTGGAGCGGTCAGGCAAAGGCTGCTGGGAACAGAGGGAACGGGTCAGCTTTGGAGGTTCCACCTGGAATGAGTCCCTCACATTCATCCACAGCATCTAGGCCAGAGCAAGCTTCATGGTGGCTCCTTGCTAAAGGGCTCCTGGGACCAAAAGATGAGAAAGCTGATGGGACAGTTGCCTCGGTCACCCCTGGAATTCCCCGTGTCTCTGTCTATCACTGGGAGGATTGATAGTGGGCCGGTGACAGGAGGCGAGTACTCTGCAAAGACTCCAAGACAGGGTGACATTTGTCCACAGCAGGTTCATGTAGTGAGATCAGGGTCCACTCCTGGCCTAATAAAGCCTCTGTTATCAAAATGCTGCAGAGGTAATAGGGAAACTTATATGCCTTCCATGAAGCCTCACACCAGCAGAAAATGACTCAGACAAGAGAGAAGGTGTGTAGCAGGCTTTTTCTTTTGGGCCACCAACCAGCTCCTAAATCATGACACGGAGCTTTCCTATTAGCTTTGAATGCTCAGCCTTATCTTAGCTCTTACTTTAATCTGCTTCTCTCTATCCTGTTTTGCCCTGGGG